GAGACTTTCCACGGAGCCTTAGACAGCTGAGCCTTTGCGTTTCGTTGTTTCAGGATGCAGACTGAGCAAGGGGCCAACACCAGGGCCAGCATCCATCCTAATGCCTTATAATTTAATCAACTTAATGCCAATTGATTTTATTTAAAGTGAAACTATTCAGCATGCTCTCTGATCATTTAGGAAATTCGGAAAATGCAAAAAAAAAAAACGTAGAGGAAAAATTATGCATAGTTCCACCACCCAAAGACAACAGATTTTGGTGAATACCTTCCAGAAATGTTTTTTAATTTATGAAGAATCATTTATCAAATAGTTAGACTTTGCTTTGGTCTCTGCCAAGTACAAGTCCTCTGAAACAAACACAGTCCTTGAAATTTGAATAATGAGCAGCAGTAGGTACACAAAGACATTAGAGGGATTAGGGAAGGTTTGACAGGATGACGTCTGTAGTTGGACTTCAAGGGTAAAAAGGAATTCCCTGAAGAGAGAAGAAAGGGAGGAAAAGTGTCATCAAAGGCAGGGCAAAATTTAAGATGTGTATGCCCCCTCTGTGGAGAGTTGGGATGTGTGGGAAAAACTAGACTGGTATGCATGTTAGAGTTGAGTTTGTCACCTAGGCTGTGGACGGCTATCAGATATTTTAAATAATGGTCACAGCGCGTCCGTATCCTAGATAACCTTGGTGGTTAGGTGGAGGGCGAATCTGTCAAATGCACGCTCCTTGAAAATCTCACCAGAATGACCTCTTTAAGCAAATGCTGCTCTTGGTTAGGGAGGGCATGAGCTTCCAGAGACTTAACAGAGTTTGGGAAAGGAAGGGCACCACTGGGGTATTTATGAGACTTTTTGAGAGTCTAGTTGAAAATGAGTGTCTACCCTGTGAGGGTTTGACGAGGCCTGGGTAAGAATCATGACAATGTGGTGCCACCTTGGGACACTCGCTGTGAGGCTTCAAAGAGATTGGTGGGTGTGATGCTGTTTAGAGTTCCTGAAGTGAACTATCAAGTTCTTTGCAATTTTTACCTCCCGGACCAGAGTTTCCTAGATTAGTAAAGTCATATCTATGAAGACAATGGAAGAGAAAAACTCTGTGAGTGAAGACAGCACGTAGTGAGATCATGTGAGTATAGACCTGTGCAGTGTAGGGTGGGTGGGTGAGCTTTCACATTGAGTGGACGATCAGCTCACTGAAGGCACATTCAGTTAGGAAGCTGTTGGAATTTTTCAGGTAAGAGATAAAGATCAAAACTAAGAGCCTCGCCTCTGTAATGGAAAGGATTCAGGAACACATACGACCTTGCTGAGAAACGCTACGTGAGCCTGAGGCGCCCACTGTCTGTCGTAGACATGGGTCTGTGGCAGGCTCAGGACCCCAGTCAGGACTGGATTAGACTCTTGTGGGCCGTTAGCTGGTCTCTGTTATTTACCCCCGCAGATTGGATGTCAAACCAAAGATTAGCAGGGACACTGAGAGGGGGATGATGGAAATTGGAGCCTTAGGGAGCACCACCAGACTGGGTAGAAGAGGAGGAGCCAGCAAGAGAGATGAGCCGGGGAAGTCATGGGGAGGGGCTGACGTGGGCCAGGGGAATGGCAAGCCAGGTCAGCCATCCCGAGCGGGCACCTGGGAGAGCTGGGGAGGTCAGAGCTGATAGTCGGGAGTCCGAAGGCCTAGGAAGGAGTTATTTCAGCATCTTGGGGGCACACGTGGGTCTACAAATAATGTGGAGGTAAGTGGGTGAGGGAAGGAAAGATAGTGGTGTTCGAGGAGGAAGCCAGGTCCTGGGTAGGGACAAGAGACATGATCATGGTGTTCAGCAGAGGGGCAGGATTGAAGACGGAGGAACTCCTGAAGCCCATCCTGGCCAAGGGACCTCTTGTCCTCAGGGTCAGAAAAGCAGGAGGGAGAAGGTGCTCCGAGATCCTGGGGCACAAACATGTTTGAGGGCTCCCAGAGAACAGTGGAGATTGCCAAGATTCTGGGCAGGCTCGATTTTGGTCATAAACGTTTATAACACAAGAGCCCTTCCTACAGTGCAGACTGTTTTTCTTTGGAGATGTTGGATACTGGAAGGAAAAAGTGATGCCGATTTTCAGTTTAATGTAATTTCTTTCCCTTTGAGAAATGCCCTT